TCCAGTCTAATCTGTTAGCATGTTAGCGTAGTATTAGCAGGTTAGAGTGTTAGCAGAGCAGCAGCAGCTCGTCGTCGCTGCTCTCTGTTTTGCCGGTGGCCTCCAGACAGGCGTCGGGGATGTGAGCCGTGTGCACCATCCCGCAGTGTTCACAGGGCCCGTCCCGCCCTCCCCGACAACCGTTGCCACGGTGATGGCGGGAGGCGTGGCCCGTGGTAGAGGAGGGGTGTGGCTCCAGCAGCGGCTGTCGGACGTCGCTGACCGAGGAGGCGGAGGAGGAGGAGTCAGAGTCGGAGACGGGGATGAGGAGCTCCACGTCTTCTTCTTCTTCTCTGCTTCCTCGCCGCTCGGCGGCCTCCATCCCACCTCTTCCTGTCTCCAGCTGGCGAAGTGGACTGTGATTGGTCCAGGTCTGGTCCTGCTGGTTCTGGCTGGTTCTAGTCAGGTTCCTGGCAAGTCGGTGCAGGTTCCGAGCCAGTCGCTGCAGGGCAGAGGTGGGCGGAGCCTGGAGCTGTGAGGGGTCACTGCGACATTCAGGATCTGGACTGGAGGTTACCACGGCAACCGAACTGGAAGGGGGAGGGGCCTCTCTGGGCCTGTCGCGGCCTCTGTCGCAGCCGGCGGTCGGGGTAAGGGAGGTCGCTGAAGTTGTCATGGATACCACGGCCTCCACACCGGTGGAGGGCGGAGTCTTCTGGGGGAGGGGGGCGACGGGCCCGCCCACTGCGCCCATGCCACGCTCCCTCCCTCGCTCGCCTTCCGTGTCTGTGTCGTCCGAGTCAGGAGAAAGCAGGTCTGAACCAGAACTCCCAGTGCTCCCAGTGCCGGCGCTGTCCTCAAGGTCAGCAGAGACCAGAGCCAAAGAACCCGATCGTCGGGAACGCGAGAAGGTGAACAGACGGCGCCACAGGTTGCTATGACGACCGGAGGAGGGGAGTCTCAGGGAGGTGAAGCCGAGCTGAGAGCGGACAGCTAGGCGAAGGTTTTCCAGGACGGAAGCCTGAAGACAGAGAGGGCGGAGTCAGAGACTAATAAAGTTTACTTAATTAATTCTTTAATTACAGGAACATTTCTGTCATCATTTATACAAATTCAGGGTTCCTACTCTTTGTATTATAATATAATATAATCTAATATAATATGATATAATGTAATAATATAATCTAATATAATATTATAATGTAATATAATATAATATTGTATATTCTTCTTATGTAGAGCTGCAAAAACTATTTTCTTTATACATTTTATACATTTGTTGCTGTTCCTTTCCTGTGTTTCACTGTTGTTGAAAATAAAGTTGGTTTAAAAACCGTCATTCTATCTGTACCTGGCTCCCAGAGCACACTGGGAAATCCTCCACAGGTGGGATCAATCCCTGGGCGATTAGCTGTCCATAAGAAGGCGGAGCTTCCCTCCTCAGTAGTTCTGCCTCCACTCTGGACAGCTGGGTCTCAAATGACCTGCAACGACCAATTACAAAGCTACAATCACATAGCTCACACTGAGAGCACTGACTAATCAGAGGCTGTAGGCCCACAGGTGTACCTGCGTTCAAACATGCGCAGTGAGTAGAGTTTGCAGGTGCAGCCGAGGGCGATGACCAATAGGAGGCCACAGATGAGGCTGCCGATGACGGCGGCGGTGATGACTCTGGTGGGAACGATGACAGGACAACTCTCCTCATCGCTGCCGTCACCGCAGTCGTCCTGAGCGTCGCACACCCACGACTCAAAGACACAGCGGTTATTCTGCAGGAAGGTCAGAGGTCAGACACACTGCGGTTATACTGCAGGGAGTTCCTGTCCTGAACCTGGTTTGTGTTCCACTTCCTGTCCTGAACCTGGTTTGTGTTTTACTTCCTGTCCTGACCCTGGTTTGTGTTCTACTTCCTGACACTGGTTTGTGTTTTACTTCCTGACCCTGGTTTGTGTTTTACTTCCTGACCCTGGTTTGTACCTACCTTAACACGCAGAGCTAACGTTACTTCTTTCTTTTAGCGA